TTTCAATTTCTGATTGTTCTTTCCTAGGTACTAGAGAAAAATTAATTTTTTGTATATTGATCTTGTGTCCTGCAAACTTGACAAACTCATTTATTCTAGTAGCCTTTTTGTAGACTCCGTCAGGTTTTTTCTACATAGATAATGATATCTGCAAATAAATATAGTTTTACTTCCTTTCATTCGGAATGTCTTTTACTTCTTTTTTTTCTTCCCTATTGTACTGGCTAGAACATTCAGTTCAATGTCGATTAGAAGTAATGAGAGCAAACATCCTTTCCTTTGTCCTGAACTTGGAGGGAAAGCACTTTGTCTATTATGATTAAAAATGGTGTTAGATTATTTTGTTGAAGTCATTTATCAAATTGAGGAAATCTCCTTTCATTTCCTGGTTTGCTGAGGGTTTTTTTTCTTTTTTAAATCAGGAATGGATGTTAGATTTTGTCAGATACTTTTTATGTATCTATTGCAATGATTGTATGATTTTTCCGTTTTAGTTTTTTAACTTTGGTAAGTTACATTGATTTTCTAATATTAAACCAACCTTGTATTCCTGAAATAAACCCCATGATGTATCATTTTTTAATATATTGTTGGATTTTATATGCTGAAATCTTCTTTAGAATTTTTGCATCTGTGTTCATGAGAGATTTTAGTCTGTAGTTTTCCTCTTATAATATCTTTGTCTAGTTTTGATAAGGGGAAGTTTGGCCTTACAAATGAGTTGATAAGTATTCCCTTCTATTTGGTTCTCTCATAGAGTTTGTGTAGAATTACCTTTATTTCTTCCTCAAATGCTTTCATGGTAGCATTCACCAGTGAAGTCATGTGGGCTTGAAGCTTTCTTTGTGGGAAGGTTTTGAACTATATATTCAATATCTTCAATAGTGCTCTTTAAGTTACATATTTATTCTTGAGTAAGCATTAGTAGTTTCTGTCCTTCAAGGAATTTGTCTATTTCATCTTCAATTTATTGGTATAAAATATTTTATCATATTCCTTTATTATCCTTTTAATATCTGTAGATTCTGTAGTGATGTCACCTGTCTTGTTACTAATATTGATCATTTCTCTTGTCTTTTTTTGCATAATCTGGCTAGAAGTTTCTCAATTTTATTGATCTTCTCTAAGCACTATTTTGTAATTTCACTGACTTCTCTGTTTTTCTATTTTCCATTTTTTAAATTCCTGCTTTAATCTTTATTATGTCCTTTCTTCTCCTTACTCTGTGATTAATTTGCTCTTCTTTTTCTGGTTTCTTAAGGTGGAAGCTGAAGAAGCTGAGTATTGCTTTAGCAACATCCCACATGTTGACATCTTGTGTTTTCAGTTTCAGTCAGTTCCAAATAGTTTCTAATTTCCCTTATGATTTCTTCTTTGACCCACAGGGTTACTTAGAAGCATGTTTTTTACTTATCAAATATTTGGAGATTTTTTTTTAGGTCTCTTAATTTCTGATTTAATTCCGCTGTTGTCAGAGAACGTATATTGAATGACTAAAATCTTTTTAAACTTAGAGAGACTGATTTTATGGCCAGTAAATGCTGGTACTAGGCCAGAATACAGTCTATTTTCGTAAACCTTATGTGTCCACTGGAGGAGAAAAAAAAGGTGCATTCTATTGATTTTGGGTAGAGTGTTTTATAAATATCATGTAGGTTAAGATTCTTCAAGTCTTCTATATCCTTACTGATTTTCTACCTACTTGCTGTATCAATTATTGAAAGAGTGATATTGAAGTTTCCAACTATAATTGTGAATTTGTTTGTTTCTCGTCATTCTCATTTTTCCTTCATATATTTTGAAGCTCTGTATCAGGTGCGTAAATTTCTAGGTTATGTGTTTGTCGTTAATTGACTTTTTATTAACATGACCTTTATCTCTGGTAATATTCTTTGCTTTGACATTGACTTTGTCTTAGAGAAATATAGCCACTCCAGCTTTCTTTTGATTAGTGTTAGCATAGCATATATTTCTATCCTTTTAACCCATTTGTATCTTTCTTTTGAAGATGGTTCTTGTAGACACATATAGATGGCTTTTGCTTTTTTAACCATTGTGACAACACCAGCTTTTAATTAGGGAGATTAGACCTTTTTTTTTTTTTTTTTTTAATATATCTTTATTGATTTCAGAGCGAGGAAGGGAGAGGGGGAGAGAGAGATAGAAACATCAATGATGAGAGAGTCATTGATCGGCTGCAGCCCACAACCCAGGCATGTGCCCTGACCGGGAGTCGAACCCTGATCGCCTGGATCCTAGGTCGACGCTCAACTGCTGAGCCACACCCGGCTGGGCCGACCATTTTTGTTTAATGCAGTGATTGATGTGATTACATCTAAATCTACTATCTTGCTATATCTTTCCTATTTGTCCCATCTGTTCTTTGTTTATTTTTTCTTCTTTTTCTTTCTGCTTTTGGATTAAGTACATTTTAGTGGTTGCTTTATGGTTTATAGTGTACATCTTTAGCTTATCACAATCTATCTTGAAGTGATATTTTGCAATTTCATCAGTAGTATAATATAATAGTATATAAAGGCCAGGAGGGACAAATGGAAGTACATACATACTATTGGAAGGAAGTACATATGTACTATTATAATAGTATTGAAAATTTGGGGCTGCTCTTTATTCAGATTTTTTTTGTCTCCTTCCCTTCATGGACTCTTAAGTACACATATTATTAGGCCACTTGAAGTTGTTGCACAACTCACTGGTGCTTCATCCATTTGTTAGTTTCCTTTCTCCTTTTTCATTTTGTGTAGTTTCTATTGCTGTGCTTTCAGTTAACTGATCTTTTCTTCTTCTGCTGTGTCTAATCTGCTATTAATCCTATCCAGTGTCTTTTTCATTTAGACACTGTAGTTTTTACTCTCTGGCTTTTATGAACACTATTCCCAATACTGTGTGGTTCTTTTCCTAGCCTCAAGCAATTCTTCACACATATGTACTGTACTTTGTTGAATGCTCAAGAGATCTCTCTGTATATCCCCAGAGTTCTTGTCTGTGCACCTCTTTGCTTTCTATAATTCTAGTCACCTTGGTTTCCCCCAGCTCTCAGCTCCATTTCCTTAGGGAGTTCACCAACCTCCACGTGGGTTTCTCCTTCCCTGCATCATGACCTGGAAACTCAGAGCTATAAGCTAGGGCAAGCATAGAGTTCACTTCATTTATTTCCTATCTTTTGGGAAATCACAGTCCTTTATTGCCTGAGGCAAATACCTTGAAAAATGTTTTTACATATATTTTGTCTGTTTTTTAAATTGTTTTAGGCAGGTGGTTAAATTGGTCCCATTTACTCCATCTTGGCTAAAAGACAGTAATATTCTTTTCCCTTCCAATAATACTCTTTAAATCTGTTTTGTTTCGATCCAGGATCCACTCTGGGATCAGACATGACATGTCATGTCTTTGTTTCCTTTAGTCTAAAACATTTTCCTACCTTTTTTGTTTTGTTTTGTTATGTTAATCCTCACCCAAGGATACTTTCTTCCATTGATTTCTAGAGAGAGAGTCTAGGGAAAGGCGGAGGGGGAGAGAGAAAACTTCAGTATGAGACGGACGTATTGATTGCTTGCCTCCCACATCCACCCTGACCTGTCCAGATGGAGCTCGAAACCAACGTACATGCCTTTAAATGGGAATCGCACCCGAGACCCCTAAGTCTGTGGGCCAATGCTCTAACCGCTGAGCAACAGAGCTTCCTAACTTTTCTTTATTTTTTTTGGTCTTTTATTACACTGGCATTTTTGATGTGTCTAAAATAATTGTCTTATAAATTTTCCCACAGTCTGGATTTGTCTTTTTCCTCATGATTAGATTCAAGGTAAACTATTTTGGAAAGAATACTATATAGGTGATATATCCTTCCTACCTCATCAGTTCAAGTGGCCTATAATACTAAATTTTTAATCACTTGGTGAAGGTGGTATCTTCCAGATCTCTCCATTGTAAAGTTATTTTTTCCCATGGTAATTAATAACTAATCTGTGGCATGATGCTTTGGGATCAGTGAAGATTCTCCTCTCAACTTTTTACCAACTGTGCATCAGTGATAATCAGTGTCTGAATTGATTATTATACTGGTGGTTACAAAGTGAGACTTTCTTCTAATTCTATTATTCCATCTACATATATTGGCTGGCATTAGTCTGTAAATAATAGCTCCTCTCACCTGGCCAGTGTGGTTTAGTGGTTGAACATCCACCCATGAACCTGAATGTCATCACTTGATTCCAGGTCAGGGCACATGCCCAAGTTTCTGGCTCGATCCCCACTAGGGGGAGTGCAGGAGACAGCTGATCAATGATTCTCTCTCATCATTGATTTTTCTAGCTCTCCTTCTCCCTTTACTCTCTCTGAAATCAATAAAAACATATTTAAAAAAAGATTTAAAAAATAACTCCCCTGTTATTTTTGAGTATCATTATGAACTCATGGGCTCTTCTTTAAATTAATTATGTTATACCTTATTATCATTATTCTTTTGAATGTTCAAATTGCCCAGATTTGGCCAAGGCAATCTGTTATTATTTAACCGCACAATATGTTTTATGCCCAGAATAATTTCTAATATATTTACCACTCACAGTTAGGAATTGAGAAAGAGACTCTGTAAGTTGGGGCTTACCCAGAGCCTTGTTAGAAGTCTTCCCCTCTCTGTACTCTGAACCCAAAGTGAGACTTCTGGGTTGGGAGAAGGAGATACATCTGAATGAAGCTACAGATCAGTGTCACCCAATTCTAATCCCCATCACCTTTATTCTAGGCATCCCGTACCCACTGCCATTGGTACCCTTCTGTTGGGCACTTCTGTTCTCCTCCCTATTTATTTACAATATTCAAGAGTAACAAGTGTCCAACTGATCTGTACCAACTGTTCAGGCGATATGCTCCAACAACTCTTTTCTGCCCAGCCCTGTGGTAGCCTTGGCCTACCTCTTTACCTACTCAAGTAACTCCTTTCTCACTAATATAATTCTCTATGTTTCCATTTATAGGATCTTACCTAGCCGTTTGGCCTGTTGCCTCTGCAAATTTAAACATAATATTGAGACTGTCTCCCAGACAGTCAGACTGCAATGTGACCCTGAATGTCTGACAAACACACCTTGTGGTGAGTCTGAATTGCCTGATGATAAACTTTTTAATTTTTATTTTATGTTTAATTTTTAATTTTTAATTGATGATACATTTTTAAGCAAATAATGTAACTTATTTTCATTTATTCAGAGTTCAATTCTTTAAAATTTTAAGAACTACTCCTTGCTAAATGTCAGATTAAGGAACAAGAGAGAGAAATGGATTAACATTAATGGCCATTAACATTAATGGCCACATAGTGTGTGTTGTGCTCCCTGCTTAGTGCTTTACTTCCAAATGAGAACTTGTTTATCCATATGTTACAGTTTGTAAATTGTTTTCTAGGCATTGGGTTTCAGTTGCCCTTTGCCTTGTAGGACAGGTATAGAAACATTTTTATAAAAAAGAGTACACATGATGCTATTTTATGAAACTTTTATTTGGAACTTGAGAATTTCTGGATCTATCACCAGAAGCTGCTACCAAGCCCTTCTAATGGATGGGAGGGCTCTTGTATTCTTAGGCTGTCCAACTCTGAGCTTGCTCTGAAACATAAGGTTTTCTGTCCACCAATTATTTTTCTATACATTAGGTTTATTGGCACCTACTCGATAACTTCCAAAATGTGCTTTCATGCCCAGATGGGTTGAATACGAGTCTCTGTCAGTGATCTGGGCACATTATAAATATTAACGCTGTGCTTCTTATATAAAGACAGTGTTTCTTATTTTTCAGAACAATGTGTTGACCAATTATATTACTCCCTTCTACCCCAAGGGTGAGCAGAACAGGCATTTTAATCTCCTTTTACAGGTGATCAACAAGATCAGAAAGTGCTAAATGTTGTCACCTAATGCCCAGGTCTCTGGCTCCCATTTTTGGGCTCCCCGCTAGTCCATGCCCCTCCTTTCTCAGGACACTTACCTCCTCCTCTGACCCTAACCACCAGCAGCAATACTTTTGATTTTTCTGGAAAAGAAACCCAGTTGCACAATGGCCCACTTGATCTTCATGCAGTGAGAAGCTTTGGCTGGTTCCCCAAATAAAGCTGAAAATATAAGAAATGACATGAAATGAAAGCACAGTAGGCATCTGACAAAAGTTGTTTTTCCCCTTCTGTGTTTTAGGACCCCAAGTATTATTCCATAGATTCACTGAACAGTCTACAGTGGTACACAACCTGGCAAATCTCTTAACATACATCCCAGATGCCTACCTAAATTTTAAGCAAAGAGCAAGGGTAGACATTTTTTTTTTTTCCTGTATAGAGCCTTCTGTTATGGGGGCTGGGATATGTGGAAGCAGGGACCAGGCTAAGGAATCTGTGGGAAAGTGGAGAAGGGCATGTCCTGATGATGACCTGTTCGCAGTGGGTGTTAATCGTGGTCATCTGCGATGGTAGCAAGAATAGGAGCACCCTGAAGAGGTGGAGAGAGGAAGCCTCATGCTCCCTCTGCATCTGAGGCAGGACAGGATGGGGTACATGAATGTGAGGAGTCACAGTAGATCTGTGGGGGTGTAATTGAGTGGGGTCTTCCAGCCTTGGCTTTTCTTCAGTACCCGGCAATTGGCCTTTGGGATCCAGTAGAATACTACTAGATATAGTTAGTATATTTCATGTTATGGAGTGTTCTGAGTCAGTAACCACCTTTTTTTTTTTTTAATTGTCACCCGAGGATATTTTTTCCATTGCTTTTCAGAGAGAGAGGGAGAGGGAGAGAGAAACATCAGTGTGAGAGAGACACATCAATTGGTTGCCTCCCGCATGAGCCCCAACTGGGACCGGGGATCCAACCTGTAACCCCAGGTACATGCCCTTGACTGGAATGGACCCCAGACCCTTCAGTCTGTGGGCCATCGCTCTAACCACTGAGCAAAACTGGCTCGGTCAGTAACCACTTCTTAAAAAAATACCTTTTCTCCTTTTGTTGTGTTGACAATCATAGATTTAAGTTGGAACTTGTTTTTCTCATCTGTATGTGGCACTCAAAATTTGCTGACCCCCTATTTATTTCACTGGGATATATCGCTATGACTGACAAAAAGCTGTCCTATGAGTCTTTCAATATCAAAAATATTCTCTTCTCTTTTGACAGATGTGAAACTACTTAAACAAGGACCATTCATGAAAGTATTACAAGTCCGGAAGAAGAACAGCAGTGAGCTGACTATTGAGTCAGACAGGGTATCATCCCAAGTCAAAAGTGGCTACAATTTGTCATCCTTCATGAGTGAGCAGCTAGACTTTAATTATAAAAGTGATGTTATTAGTGCACTAAATTACATATTGCCTTATTTCTTGGAGGGAAATCCAGAAGATACAGAATCAACATTATTACCATTCATTAAACTCACTTTTTCAAATGTACACGATGCAGATATGCCCGAGCCATTTAAAAAACAACAGAGGGAACCCTTCTCTTAAACTTGAACTTGACAATCAAGTTACAAAAATAAATTGAGGAAACTCTTATTTTCTGGAACAGGCCTCCTGATGAAGCTGCTCAGTGAGCAGCAAGAAGTAAAGGTTTCCAAACCAGTGTGGGATGCGGAACAATGGAAAAATGAGAGGCCAGGAGTCCAGGGTGAACAGGAAGAGGAGTCAAATGAGGTGAGGACAGCTTCGGAAATACGGCACCTGGGCTTTTAGTGAGTTTAGGAACATGCCGTGAAAGCCCCCAGGGATGCCTAGTCTGAATCTTGTCTTGACCATGTGACTTTGGCTAAGAGTGATCTTCCACTTTGCTCATTTAGAGAATGTTTTCACTGTTCCGAGGATAGATGAGAATGGGACCTAACACCCAAGATAGATAAATCGTACAAGAAAACCTCAGATTACATAACATATTAGATTTGGTATGTTCTTTAAGAACCACTTGAAAGAGGGGTTTTAGAGTAGTAGTTAAGAATAGTTAGCTATTCTTTAGAATAGGCTAGAGAATAGTTAGTTTTTATCCTTTCCATGTCTTTGGTTTTTTTTTTTAAATTGTTCTTTGGGTTTTTTTTTAGGTCCTAAACGAATTGCCAGAATATGAGGAGATCAACAAACTCCTCATCGCATCACCTGTGATTGGAGTAACAGTATTTTATTTTGTACTTTTCTGTTTCATTGAGGTAAGACAACAGTTAATTCAGATTTCTGAAATATATTGTCTTTAGAGTAGATTCAGAATGCACAAACTGAAAATCAAAGCTACTTTCCCACCTGCTCCTACTTGATACACTTCTTCAGTCATGAGCACTGAGATATGCTTTGTTCTTTTATTACAAATTATATTCCAGGGATTTTTAAAGAAACTCCACTCTAAGAGATCTCTGTGGAATTGAAATCAAGATAACAAGCCACTAAACTGATTTGAAACTTAAATTTATTGGCCAGAATTGACATGATAGCAAAATTTCTTCAACTCGAAACAAACGATGTCGATTTGATGTACTCACCAATTACTCTCTTTCTACCACTGATTTCTTTCCTTGTTGGCTGGAATGAGAAGAGATACAGAAACTCCACCCTCATGGAGCTAGGTCACCCTGGCAGAAAGGACAAGGCTAAAAAGATTAAAGTGTGATCTTGTCAATTAATAAGATTTACTTAGCAGCTTTCTTCTCCAGTGTGTAAGGCATGGTGTGAATAGGTTCAGTTAAAACACTGCAGCCTAAATCCTGCATCAGGCTTCTCTAAAGCATGTTATATTAGAGTCATCTGTTGCTAGAGCTTGCCTGTGTCTCTTTTTTTTTTTTTTTTTTTTTTTCCCCTGGGGATT